ACAAAAATTAAATAACTATTATTAATAGAATTTTTGTGTTTTTCGTTGTTTTTTAAAATTTCCAAACGATCGCACCATTTCAAAAACATTTCCATTGTTGTAATTTTTCGTTTCATGTTCAAATTGCAAACAAATAATTTTGCAGAAAATCTATAATTTTGTATGTATACTAACAAACATCAGCTGATCCGTATTTAGATCATGATTAAAGGTATGTGTAAACAATTAGGGTGTATTTCTGGATTTCGTTAATCGAGTCGATTTAAAATCGTATATGTAAATATACTTTTAGTGTGTTAAGTGAGTGACGGACAGATCATCGCCCAGACGAAACGGCTAAAGCTAGAAGCTTGAAAATTTTTGGTGTGGGTTGTTGTTGCTGTGTAGGCGTGAGATAAGGCTGAGTTTTTGGAAATTTGAACTAGAAGGGCACTAAAATATGGTACCCTTTGAATTAGGCGAACGGGAAGAGCTACAATTCTGAAATTTGGAATGTGGGTCACCGATGGAAACTAAAGTTTACTAAATTTAGTTCTAATTGTATATGTATTGAACATATATAGCTAGAATCTTGAAATGTTATATGGAATAAAGGTTGTGAAGTGGTGTTGATGTATGAAAATGGTTTATGAAATTAGTACATATTTATCATGGTATAATAATAGAAGGTAACAGCAAGTGTTGTTGTACAAAAAACGATACAACAACCACATTGAAATTTGTTGTTGTAAGTTCTACTAGTGTCAACTCATTTGACAGAAAAATGTAAACAAACAAACAAATTATCATCAACTTATTTTTATTTTGAAAATGATATATTTTCGAATCCTCAAAATAAAAATTGAAAAACATGAATGAAAATCTATCAAATTTATATTTCCATCGCTTCCACATCTTTCCTATAATTGGGCCATTGCCATATATATGTGTAACACATATGAAAATGCTGGGAATAGCGAGTTATTCCTTGAAGAAAGATTTGCTTCCTCAAACTTTCCCAGCAGGCAGATTGAGTAAATTGAATACAGGAGCACATTTAAAAAAGAACAATTTAAAATTGTATGCGTTCCCAATTTTCCTGTTGGGTGTTTTTTAAAAACATAATTTGTCAAATTCATATTGACACTAGTATTACGTTGGAATCAAATCAGCTGGGATTTGCTGTTACCTTTTATAATTGTGCCATGCATATTTATATAAAAAGTACAAAATGGTACTAAATTTAGTACTATTTGCGTTTAAATGAGTGTATAGAGATGGAAGCCTGAAAATCGGAATTTGAACTACTATTGTAGTACAGGTGAATGTATAGAGCTGGAGTTTTCAAATTGAGAATTAAATTAACTGTTGGAGTGTTGTATTGAGGTAGTTTAGGAAATTCGTACTTATTGGTACGAAAAGTGATTTTGCTTGAAAGGTTTTCAGTTCTAAAGACATATTTGTAAAATCGTATTTATATGTATAAAAAGTACTAAACGGCACTAGATTTCGTGCAATTTGTATTTGGGTGAATGGAGAGAGCTGGAAACCTAAAATTTGGAATAATGGCTGCCGTTGGAATATAGAATTGAGATATGGAAGCATAGTACTTATGTGTTCTATATTTGGTACAACTTGATTACGTATGAATGGATAGAACTGGACTTCAGAATTTTGGAATTAAAATTAATGTTGGAGTGTAGGATTGACATGAAACAAAAAGTACTAAATGGTACCAAATATTTTACAAAGTGTTTTTGCAGGAACGGATAGGGATGAGATCCTGAAATTTTTAATTAATATTGCAGTTGGAGTGCTGGATTGAGATATGTTGGAAGTTTTGAAAATTCGTCCTTATGTGTACTAAATGGTACTAAATTTGGTACAATTTAGGTTTAAGCGAACGGATAGAGATTGAAAACTTACATTTAAAATAAAAATTACAGTATTTAGGTTGTATTGGAATTTCGTACTTATGGATATAAGAAGCACTAAATGGTACTAAATATGGTACAATTCGTTTTGTGTGAGCGGATGAGCAGAAGCAATTGTGTGAGCGGAAGCAATTGTAGGTGTGTGGATTAATTATCCATTGCTACAACAAAAATCTGCTTTGAAATGGACTGTTCCTAGAATGAAGACAAATGTCGAACTTTGACAAATTTGAATTTATCAACGAACGACATTTGTAAAGCCACATAGCCTAATATGCCTGATGAGCCGCTTTACCAACGGCGAAACGCGTCGAATAATGATGGGTACGTAGGTTCTTCTCCTGGCATTCCTTTTCATTGCAAAACTTAGATCATCAAGCTCGATTCGAAGGAGTATAAATAATCACTTAATATTTACAGAAAATATACATTTTTATTTTTATTTAAAAAATATGTCATTCGACATGCAAAAAATTTTATGGAATTCATTTTTCAAACAATTCCAATTTAAAGTCGGTTGCCGTTATTAATTTCTCAAATGAGACTACCTTCTGTAATTACGTTACTACTTGCTTCATATTGAATATGTACGTGTAGTCACTTAAAAAACTCCATACTATTATATGTTCGGATTATCATACCTTTATAAGATATAGTCATTAAGATTTAATTATTATATGGAGTAGTATGGTTTGCAATTTAATTAAAATCGGCCTTTAAGGCTTCAAATTGCATTTTTGAAATAAATAAATAAAATAAATAAATTATGCCATGAAAAATCCAAATAATTCGAAATAATTGGTAATTTTAATTATCCACTAGATTGTCATTATTATCATGAATCTGTAATGTCGCCTTGTCCCCTATATACTGTAATATCGATAAATAATAACCAACAAAAAACATATCGAAAATGCATGTATTAATCGATAAATGTCAAAAATCCCATTATTGTCATCACTATCTTTCTTTTCACAAATTCATCAAAATGGCAACAAATCGTGGTAACCGTGCTCGCCAAACTGAAGAAGTGGATAACACCATTACTTATGTACAATGTGATGGATTGGTAAGTTAATTTAATAGTTTTCATAATCCGCTTTAATAATTTATAAAAGTTGCGAAGTTAAACAATAAATTGTTCGAATTATTCATTGATAAAAAAATGTGTGTATTGGGGCAGTGGCTAGGCAGCAGCAAATGTCAAAAGCGAAAATCACACGTTCGCAAGTTGACAACTGTGCATCCAGCGATTACGGGGAGATGCCATATTTATGTAAAAAAAAAGGAATTTTTATTTTTGCAAATTTTGATTAATTTTTTTTGTTTTCTTTTCTAGGCGGCAATGAAAATTGTCAAGCACTGCCACGAAGAATCCAGTAACATGGATTTGGCTCAAGGTGCCTTGCTGGGCCTTGTTGTGGACAAGTGTTTGGAAATCACCAATTGCTTCCCCTTCCCCAAGAACGAAGACGATACCATGGACGAAGAACTGTATCAATTGGCAATGATGCGCCGTCTGCGTCGTGTCAATGTCGATCACTTCCATGTGGGCTGGTATCAAAGTTCCAATGTGGGCAATTTCCTATCCATGGCATTGTTGGAATCCCAATACCACTACCAGACCAGCATTGAGGAATCGGTTGTTGTCATTTATGATACACAAAAGTCGGGACGTGGTTTCCTTTGCCTGAAGGCCTATCGTTTGACACCACAAGCCATTCAAATGTACAAGGATGGTGATTTCACGCCAGAGGCTTTGCGAAACATGAAGGTGGGCTATGAGAGTTTGTTTGTGGAGATTCCCATTGTTATTAAGAATTCACCATTGACCAATATTATGGTGAGTGAATTGTGTGAAATGATGCCCGAGGAACAGGGTCATAACTTCTTGGATTTGGGTACCGCCTCGGTGTTGGAAAGTCATATGCGTTGTCTGATCGAACGTGTGGATGAATTGTATCAGGAGTCGATGCGTTACAATAAGTATCAACAGGCTGTCTTTAAACAGGAAACTGTAAGTGGAAGCAATATTTTTTAAACACCCATTCAATATTTGTTTACAAATATCTTCTGTTTTTAATAGGAAAAACATCGTGCTCTCACCAAACAAACTGCCGAGAATGCTATCCGTGTTGCCAAAGGTGAATCACCCGTTCCCGAGGAAGAAGTTCTTAAACAATTCCGACCATTGCCCGTTCCACCCAGACTTAATGCCACCATTGCCTCGGGTCAAATCAACACCTATTCTCAACACATTTCCCAATTCTGTTCGCAATCGTTGGCTAAACTCTTTATTACACAATCTTTACAAAACGCTAAGGAATCGAAGGATGTTACCAAATAAGTTCTTAATTTTTAATATCCTTATCGTTTTTTAACACATAAGCAAAAAAGAGGAAGAACAAGCAGTAAAATTATACGGAGGAGAAACACACACACACATTATTTGTAACGAATCGTATATTTAGTAAAAAAAGAATAGAAACCACAATATAGACAAACAAAAAACAACAGGAGGAAACAAAATCTTTATACACACATAAATAACGATTTGAATAAAGTGTTAAAACAACAACAAAAAGAATATTATGCAGTTTTTTTAAGAAATGTCGAAGAATTTTTAATGCACCTTTAACAATGGACCAAATGAGAATATATTGGATACTCTTAAAAAACATTTAGGTGTGGATTTTTCCAAAAAAATATTTAAAAATCGTGGATTTTATAAAAGCTATTTTTTTAACTTTTTCAGAACTTACTAACAACAGCCACCGGGCTATAGCAAGAAGAACCCCTATTTTCTAAAATGAAAATCGGAAAATTTTCTGTTTAAATTTGTCTGTATATTTTTTTTCTTATACTAACTTATTGCAATATGATTTATATTTTTTCAAGAAACTCTTAGAGTTCCCTTATAAGCTGCATGGAGTCAAAAAAATGTATGATATAAAAAATAAATGTTGTTTATGAACAAAAATATAAAATCAAAAAAATTCGATTGAAATCGGTTATTTCAAAAATGAAGCAAAATTATTTCCAGAGATCCAGGTCCTAGTCCAAAATTATCCTCGTGTCCGTATAACCCTTAAGCATCTTGTCGTATTGATTTCTCCGCCATTTTATTGTAGGTCGACTGATTGAAACGATGATAGGCACGACAATCTTGCAAATGTTCACTCATCGTTCCGACGGGCACAAAATGTGTGGCATTATATTCACAGACCTCCAACGGGGGACCACGATAATTTTTACGACATTTTAAAACGTGTGCCGGCATTCGATACATGACAATGCGATGACCGCTGTTGAAGGGACAAATTCCATATTCATTGTCATCGGACATGGTTGGTGTGCGGCGTCTTCTTTGGTTTGGGTTATGTTTAGAAGAGCTGGTGAGAGAAGTAATAATTAAATAAATTACAGGTATATAGGATGAAAAAACCACATGTAATTGTTAAAATGTCTTAACATGGGCTGTCCTCTGGTTCATGAGTATGGACCTATATAGTCCGCCTGGAGTTATTATTTTTTTTTTATATGAGAACTTGAAGTGGTAAATTATTGCAACTTCGAATCGAAAATACTCCTATCAACTTTAAAATACCCCAAAAAGGCGTGTCCCCTCCATACACATTGGAGCTATAAAAAAGTATGGATCTATATTAAAATACAATGCACATTGGAGCTATAAAAAAGTATGGACCTATATTAAAATACAATAACAAAGTTCTAAAATACTTGTCGTTGGCCCATATCACAGCAGCGTAGACTTTTTCGATTAGAAAATTAAATTTTTGTAATCAGGACAACAGCCGGTTTACAAGGGTCCTAGCGTAAATTTTTAGACTCATATCCCCGAAAGTTTATATTTCCGCAATAATCATTACAATCAGGCCCCTCCGAGGAACCTGTGGTTTATCAATCAAGTGTTTTTTTTTAAATCGTTCGGGGCTTCAACACAAATCCACAATTACATGTGTGTGTGTAGTTAGCTGCTCGAAAGTCTCCAAACTCGAAGGAGCATGATTTGTTTTGTTTGGTGTGTGTGTGTGTGGGCTTGTGTGGAAAGTGGCGACCCAAGCCGTAAATAAAATATTTAATTATTGGACAACATTTTAAAACTATTTTATTTCACTCACCTGCAATATTAAATTGTGCAGCAGATTATCCAGAATTTACTCGAAAATATATTCGTAATTCAATAATTTATTGCTAGCGTCAATAATAATGCGGCAATTTATTAATAAACAACACTATTATTTATACATAGGCGATATGCTGGTTTTGACGGCGTCAAAAGCGTGCCTGTTTAACAGCTGTTAATAGCGTACGACGTATTACCTAAATGTAGTAGTTACATGATGATTAATAATTACAAATTTATAAAAATTGTTGTTGTTTTAATCCAAGCTCTATTTTAATTTAAAAAAATAGTTCATTTAACAA